TTTGTAAAGAACTATCCAAAGTGCATGTTTCTAAACCAAAAATAATATCTACATAGCATAATATTATTGCATCAATGCTTTCAAATGACATATCAGAAGTTCATGGGCATCTACAAGAGAGGTAGATGAATATTGCATAAAAACATCACAATGGAGGCTCTGTAGACTGCATAGAGGCAATATTTGGCAGATAGATTTTCTGTACATCAGTGTGGGTAATATCCACGAATGAATATTGTTGTCTAGTGATCTGGTTATAAATAATGGAGAGTCATGACCAAGATGCGCTCCAACTTGGGATCCCACCCCTGAGGTGAGCTTGTGAATACCCAAAGTGCAGTGTCTGAATCGTACTTTTCTGTCTTGTCCAGTGAAAGTTTAAGCAGTTACATTGAACTACTTTATATGGGGAATATCTCAGTAAAATCCCCTTGGCAGAATCAATTTCTCTGTAAATAAGACAGAGAAGTGATTTTAATTCAGGTCTCATTTTAACTCAGACATAACATATATGATTTAGAGTACATCCTCAACTAAGAAAAATGAGATAATGCTTTTCATGTCAGGTTTTATGAGCTTACTATTTATTTACATTTAACATTGAAATTAAGTAAGCATTTTATATTGGAAAATGATAAAAAAGTTTCTAGTCTAGGTAAAACATTAATTGCTTTTAATCTGACTGTCAAATTTAAAAAGTAAAACAATCATTTCTATGCATAGTAAGATTTTGAGCTACATCCAGCAGGTTCATGCACAGCCCACATCACCCATGGCTGCTCATGTTAGGAGGGCAGTAGTAACTGGCCATTTCATTGCTCAGAATGATGAGGTTTCCATAGTACACTGTGAGTGTTGAGAGGGTTTGAACACTAGTTGGTCAAAAAATCCTCAAGGCACAAACACTCTTGACTTGCAGTATATCTCACTGATTATGTAGATTTATTGTAAATTACTGGTTTTGAGGTTCGTTTAGAGAATAGGAGTTCATGGGATTATTATATTTTACAATTTGTGATAAAATCACAAATCTAATTAGTTCCTTATATTTCAGTGCTTTAGTAAGGCTGTTAAAGAGATGCTTTTTAGAGTTTAAGTATTCTTTTAAAAGTATAATTAATGAGATCTTCATAATGAATGGAAGTCTGCCTCCATTTTAAATATCAGTATTCTGCTTAATATGACTAACCTTCCACACTTCCTTGTTTGTCCAGAACAGACAGGAAGATACTAGCTGTTGCAGGAAAACTGCTCAGCTCATGCAGCTTAAATCAAATAATGATCAAAGTGGTTTATTTATTCATCACTGACATGCAATTAACCAGCAACCAGTGAACTACATATTCAGCCTCTGCATCAGCCATGCAGCAGACAAATGAAAATACAAGGTACTTGCAAGCCATTAAAAAGCGTTACAAATTTCTAATCAACCTTGAAAGCTAACCCCAAAATGTTCCCTGCTTTGCTCCATCCCTGGCAGGATGGGCAGCCAGCACTGAGCATGTGCCTTGTTCCCTGGCTTGCTGGGAGGGATGAGTGCTCCTGCTCTCTGTCCCCTACCAAAGCCCCCTCCACAGGCACACCTGGCCTGGCATGCTGCTCCTGTAACATCAGCTCCCTGCCTGCTGCCAGTGCTCGACTGGTGGCTTTGAGGGTGCTGCATCACTCCTTCAGTTTGTGCTCCAAGATCTTTTTCCGCAGTTACAAGTTTTCATACTTCATGTTTCTTTTGAAACTGTCTTCTTTTTGATTTCAACCTTGAAGATCCCCAGTTATGTTTGAATCCAACTGACAGTTCTTTATCTTGATCAAAATTGAAGAAATGACACCTCAGACATTGTGAGGTGCTCCATTTAAATACTCTGCTCACATTTGTGTTTCTGCCCCAGCAGCTGCTCCTATCTGAGCTGTAAAAATTAGGTTTGGGCTGTGCAGGTGCTTCCATGGTCAATTAATGTATAGAATTGAGACAAAATACTCATATGTGTAGTACAAGGAAAAACTGTCACCATTGGAGCATCATGGCAGAATCGATTTATCTGTTTTAATGAGCATTAACTGAGAGGCCATCAAGTACGAAAGCAGTGATGTGCAAATTAAAAAAGATTATTACCTGCAAGAAAAAATGGCTGGGATCAAGAAATCTCCTAAAATAACAACTGATCAAAACAAATATGATTTGACAGAGTCACTTATCATCTACTTGAAGTGATTATAGTTTCTATTGATTATAATGAAAGAAAAATGGAAGATTTACTATATTATTTGTAAGGAAATTAGCTTGAGCTTGTGAAGTGGAAAGAAAGCTTTGTCATTGTATAAACAGTGAGTAGCCACTCTTGTCATCATCTTTGTTTCTTTTTCATTCCTGGTACTTAATGTTTTATAGCAATTGTTCTAATAAAAATATGTGGGTTTTTTTTAAGCAATCAAGATTTCTGTGTGAGACTTCTTTTATTTTTTTAAGGGAAATAACTTCTTGAAGTGTAAGAGAATCAGGAAAGATAAGTAGTAGAGCTTATGTTTAAGGATTGCAGATTTTAAGGAAAAACCACATTTTTTCATTTGTCATTATAGTGGCAGAACTAGAACTGGATCACAGTTTTTCACAAAACATTGGCATTAGAAAAGTTTAATTTGTAGATTTTTTTTCAGAGGTGTATATTTTAATGACATAAAAAAGTTGGTGGAACTGGAATCACTTGCCAAGGATGAAATTTCTCATAAAATATTTGAGATGCACCCATATCAATGTTACCTGTTTATCAAATAAGTGCCAAACTCTCTGTGGGATAGAATGTAAGAAAATAAAGATAGTGCAGAAGCAGTCTCACACCTGAGGAGTTGCAGCTGTATCAATCACCAAAGATGAGGAACAGGCCTGCCCTTAACAGGCCACAGCTGTGTCCAATAATACAAGTGCTACAAAAGAGTGGGATAGCTGGGTGAGGAGTGAGGTGGGGTTTGTTGGTTGCGCTGTGAAGGAGTCAGTACTGCAAGGAGCTGTCCATGAGAAATCACTGAGAAGGTATGGCACTTTTGCAGCAAGATGACAACAAAACCCATAGACCTTGTTCTCCTTTATTCTCTGCAATGACCATTGTACACTGCCCATAGCTGTCCAATTTCACTGGCCATTGTGTTTGCATTGTAGTGGCCTAGTGCTGCAGAGACTGGGGGAAAACAGTCCAAGCCAGGCTGTGGAAGGATCAGATACAGCTGGATTGGGAGAAGTGGGGAGGAGAGCAGGTTCATCCAGTAACATGCATTTGGTTGGTTTCCATGCCACATCCACCTGGCCCTCGTGAAAGCTGCAGATGAATTTATCTCACCATACACAGCTCAGAAAACTAATAGGTGAAAGGAACTTGATGCTACTTCTTTCTAAATGCAAGGACAGGTACTCTTAATTGTATAGTTGTTTCTAAGACCTAAAAATTGAAGCAACATTGCAAAATAATAAAAATTACAGGTTGTTTTAAATTGATTTATAGTTACACTTCTGGAAACATGGTTTTACATTAATTGAGATGGTGATTTGATAACTGCTTCAATGTGTTGAAAAGCAATGAATTTTGAGAGAAGGGGAAAAATATTTTCTAAATGCTGCTTCATTGAAACTTGAAAAATTAGTAATATATCAAAATAATAGATATTCAAAGAATTAGAAAATGGTAGAGTATGCTTTTCTTAGCCCACAAATCCCCTTTTTTTTTTTTTTTTGTAGGGGAAGAGTAAAGCTATTTTTCTATTTTAAAAGAATTATTGTTTCTTATTTTAAAAGGTTAGTTGATTCGAATAAGAATCTGCATTCTGATTGTATGGTTAAGCCAAAAAAAACCACAGCTAAGTGTTTGAAATGTTGTTTTATCTTAAAGTGAAATATTTCTTCATTCCAGAAAGGAAGAAAAATACAAATTTGTTTTTCATGTAATTTTATTTTAAGTATACAAATGTGTTATCCAAATTTTGTGATCAAAAATACTTTGCTTTGGGTAGGAAGCTCATTTGAATCCCCTTTGCTCTCATTGCTTTCAACGCTCACTGTTGTGTTTGTATTTTAAACAACGTCAATGCAATGACATTGCTAAATGTGGTGGGCTGGCTTTGAGTAGTGGGTAAACTCCCACCCAGACATCTCATTTCCTCCGTTTGAAGGTGACTGTGAGTGACACAGGGCAGACCCTGATGTCCTTCCACACAGAACATTCCTGCAGTATCCATGCTACCAAAACCTAAAATCTAGGAGCAAATTTTGTACCTGATTCTGCCCAGTTGTTCTGACAGAGAAAGAATAATCAAATATTGTGAATGAACATGTTGAGTAGCATTTTAATGTAAATCAGTGCAAATGCACAAGAAAGAAGACTTCCAGACACACTATGGCAAATTGCACACAATGAATTTTGCTTGTAGATTTCAGGTATTTTTACACAGGGTGATAGCTGGAAAGAATTTCACAGCAGCAGAAATTTCAGGCTAGGCTAACATATTATTGTATCTTACTCTAGGAAAATTAATAAAATTGTATGGCATCCTTTATCTCTGAAATTCAGGAGTCAATAATTATCCTTTTTATCAGTGACGCTGACAAGTAAATCTCAGTCTAGACTTTAATACCCACTCAAAAAGAGTCCTGATTATGTTCCTACATGTCTATCCTCTTCTCCATTTCAGGTTTATTAAATCTGGGTACGTTTGACTATTGCTCTGTGTTTGTGGTAATGCAATATAAAGGGTGATTTTGAACTTTATCCATTTCAGAAGGCTGACATGTTTGAAGAAAAGATATAGAGCACATACATACTATGTCATGGTTTCAGAACAGTGAAAATGGAACATACATGAGGCTATACACGCTATAAAACCATCTGCTCTGATTCCTTACTTTTGGAGAAAGATTCTTCAAAACAAAAAATTGACTTTCAGGAAGAGATAAGTTTCCAGTTTTCAATGTCTCAGAAATGTTCCTTTTAAAATATTGCTTGAGATACCTAAAAGTCTGCAAAAAACTGCAGGAAAAAAGCTATCAAGTGTCTTTATCTCTCACTCATAAAAGTGAAATAAAGTCTGTATTGTGCTACCTTCAACCAGTGGGAGCAACTGTATTTCAGGGAGTTAATGAGAGGCTCAGAGAGAGGTAAGGAAAGCAAGGCCTGGGCACAGCTCTCTTCACATTAGTACTGACTGCAGTCTGACTTCTCCCACTCTCATGAGCCTTAGATGGTGTCTGCCAGGGCACAGACTGCCTCCCTTCCAACCTGTCCAACCCCAGACTGATGGATATGCTGTCTCTTTTTCCACAGAGCTGTACAGGGTGGAGATGTGACAAGAAAACTGGCCATTGTCAGCTCATGCGAAATCACAGTGAAGGTCACACGTCTGCAGTCTTCTCTGTGATATAGCTGGTGTCAACACTTCTTCTCACTGCTGGTTTATCTCATTTAAAACTGCAGGCTTCCCTGAGGACTTTCAGCAAGGTGGCTAATGCATGTATTACAGTATAATCTCACTTTTTTTTTTTTTTTTTTTTGACAGCACAGACAAAGCATTGAAAGCACCTATTTGGAAGAGTAGAAGACATTTGAACTTCTGTCTTGTCTTGGAGGTTTCACTAAAATAGAGGATCATTCATTTTGTAGACAATTTTGAAAATCCTATGGTAAAAACTGTCAGGAAGTTACTTTTCAGCTAGTGGGAAAACTTTTTCTTGCAATGAATCTGATTGCACTGTAAAATATTCCATTTGTATAGCTTGCTGCTTCTTTTACAAAAATATTTACAAGCGAGAGGTTTTTTTCCTTCAGAACAAATCTGTTCTTTCTATTTCACGTTCAACTGAAGTCATAAAACACTAACATGCATCACAATTTCCAGCTGGGAAAAAAAATTGTGGTTATCATTCATTCAAGCTTGGGCAAAGGACAAAATGTGAAGTTTTTAAGGACTTAATGTTATGTTTTTTTAAAGGACTTTTTTTTGAGTGCCTCATGAAGCATGAACTGCTCTTCTGTGTTACTCAAGGATGGATGGATATTCAATAGGCTAATATTTACCATGTTGGAAAAAGATTCAAACCACGTGAATATTTGTTCATTCCTGTTGGCTTAACAAAACTGACAGTCATGTCACATTTTATCATGACATGCACCAGACAGAGAACAGCATCCTAAAAGCCAGTTCAAAGCAGCATGTCATGTACAGCAAAAAACTGTAAGGAGATATTGTCTGACTTTGAATGGGTGGTAAAAAACTCTACTGCCTTCAGATTTTCTTTAGTAAGAAATGTCTTATGCCCAGCATTTGAAACATATTAAGAGTTGCCTGGCTTTCTGCTGCAATATTTTCTTGTTTTACTAATTCCCTGGGTTTCACCGTACCAAGTTGTATTAACACCTTGCAGCTGTAATGGCATGGCTGAGAGTCTCTTCATAAAGATTATGGGACACACAGCTACAGTGGGTCCATTGTGAGAGTTTACTATAGGCAGCCCTACCAGGATGATGACACTGATGAGGGTGTCCTCCTCCTTCAAGGAACAAAGAGGGTTCCTCTAAATCACCTGCCCCTGTCCTTTCTGGGGACTTTTGCTGGGTGTAGGGTGGGAATACCACACAGCTGGTACAAACAGGCTCAGGAGATTACTAGAACACCTGGATGATAACTTCATGGTACCTGTACTAAGAGAGACAAGTGGTGAAGGTGCCCTCCTTGATTTGATGCATGTTGAGAGCAAAGGTGTCATGAGCAAAGCAAGTGGCAGTGCTCTTGGCCACAGTGTCCATCAAGCAGTTGAATTTAAAATCTCTGGTGACAGGAGGAAAAGTGGCAGCAATGCTTCAAGCCTGAACACAAGGCAAATAGACTGCTCAGGAAATTAGTAAGATCCCCTGGGAAAATGCCTTTGAAGGTTCATCAGTGCTGATCATGTTTTCTATGTAGTTTTTCAGTAAAAATATTCCTGGTTCTATTTTTTCAATTGACTTAAAGAGTAAAATTTCCCAGTTGACATCTAGTTTTAATATTCAAATATTCATTAAAAATGCAGATTTTGTGTTCAATTCTGTGGTGCTCTTATACTGGCTGTATACCTTTGGTATGTTCCTCTCACTTTTTTTCACTCTGTGATGTAAAACAACAACCTCCAAAAATTGCTGTATCCATGTCAGTAGTGATACATCTTTTCTCCAAAACCATTGTCCAGTCTTTTGTATTTGAAAATGCCTTTGGTTGAAGGTAATTATTCTGCATTTCTAGGTCATAGTTTGCTATAATGAAATGGGAGTGGAGAGGGCCTTGAGCCTAATTCCAGAAAAAATCACCTTCAAGCAAGTTCTACCAAATGGTGAACATTTGCTCTATTTGTAATTAGTAGGAGGGAAGGGGAAAAGGAAAGTGTCATTTTTCTCTGAGTGTGGATTACTTACAGACATTCTGTTTCCTACTACCAAGGTCTTGTGGTAGCTCTTTTTTTTCCATTACCCCACAGCTATTCATTAGCTGATGTGCCAATGTCTGTCACAGTTTCTCCTGTGGGACAATGGTGTCTTAATATTTTAGCAACAGCACAGAGATGTAATTATCTGTAAATAATTTAACATGTGTTTCATCCATGTGGAAGCTATCCAATCAGTCAAAGCAAAAAACTCCCTACATTTTCTATCAAAGTTTGAGTCTTCTGCAATATGTTTGTTGTCATCTTTGGATTCTCAAAATCCTTCATTAGGTATTTCCTCCCTCAAATATTTGGAACATCAAGCCATCTTACATTTCTGGGGACAAACTCAGACATGATGTGAATAAGTATATCCTGAGGAATTCGTGATGTTTAAACCATATATAGTATTAGAGTATTACTGAATATTGTGTGCCTTGTTAATATTTATTACCTATATTCAGGAAGAACATACATAACTTTAATTAAAAGTTTTTTAAAGATAAGAGTATTAATTATGCTGGCTATATATTTTCTTCTCTCTGATCAAGCAAGCATTCAAAAATTAATTTTCATCAGCTTCATTTTCTTGTTATTTTTCTTCCTTTGCACTTTACCATGACAGTTTTGTAAAATGAGAATGAGATTAAAAATTAAAACATTATTCACTGCATGGGCATTCAGAAAGAGAGGAATTTATTTGCCTGACACCAGCCTCCAAAGGGTCCAAAAGAGGCAGTCAGACCTGTGCTGAATGTTACTGCTAGTTTATTCACACGTTAGTAATGTCTGCCATCAGTTTATGATGTACCTAGCTTCTAAAATAAACTGCCTAGAAATAAGTGAGTAAATGTGAGTAATCCCAAGGAGTATTATAGCATTATTTCTTCTTGGGAAGACTGGAATGCATATAGCTCTTTCTAGGACCAAGGTTAGAAAATCCTTTGGAATGGAGGCCTTATCTCCCTATATGCAAAGAGTTTACCATTCTCTGGAGGGTATATTCATGTGTATAAATGACATATTTGATTCATGTTTGACAAAGTTTGATATAAGACATTTCCAATATGTATAATTTTTAGCTAGAAGAGGAGCTGACTTCAGCTATTTTGAATGTTTAAATTTCACTTTAGACATTGAAAGACTGCATATTTACCTGAGCATGTGTGTGTATGGGACAATTTATGGGTAATCTCAATTTGCACTGCAATCTCAAAGGTTTCCCTGTGATTCTGAAGTAAGAATAATGTGAAGAATAATTTCTGCAGTCCTCAGAGTGAAAATCAGTCTGTGCATATGTGTCTATAACAGAGAAATTTATTAGCTAGAGCTAATATGAGCCAGGATAATCTATACTTAGGAGGGATATACTTGACACAGCATAAGTTCTAGCTACTTTGGCTGGAAGATAATGATTAAAGAGATACCAGCTTGTTTAAAAGTGTGAATTACACTCACTTTCAATGAGGTAGGAATAATAAGCATGAATATATTCGTCCAAAATTTCTCTTATATGAGTGTGCTCATACAATAGAAAAGTGTAAAGAATTTGAAATCAAGGGGTTTTTAGCAAAAAGTGAGCACTGTTATTAGTTACTGAGTGAATTTCTTCTGCTTTAGTATTGTTGCTATGCAAAAAAATCACGTTCTTTGAGCAACCAGATGGAAGATATATTGAACTGTTGAAATATATTAAGCATAAGAGCATTCTGAGTGTAAAACACTAAAAGATGGAAGGCCAAATCCTGAGGGTTTTTTTAATCATAATTTAATATTATAATGGAGCCTCACTAATGAGAACCTATCTGACACTCCAGTGTCAGCTCCTTAAAAGCTAATGGAACAGCAGCAGTAAGGATTCACAGGACTATGAACGGTACTGCAGACCACACTGTTGATTTGAAGTCATATCTTGTGTGCAGGATATGTTTCAGATGTATTTGAATAATATTTGTGAATAATATATAAGTTAATTTTTTCCCAGTTAATTATCAAATGCATTATTAATGAACACGTATTATTCAATTGACATTTTATAAACTCAAATAATTTATGTAAATAGATTAATCTAGATTTTTACCCCTTTTCTCTGTGGCTTTTTTTCCCTCAGAGAAGGCAACTTCTACTAAATTTTGTTTTACCAGTGAAAGGATTCAATTCAATTTGTTTTTATTGTACTGTTAACTTGCATTTCTAATGTCCCCATGGGAAATCACTGTAGAGTCATTAGTGTGCTTTAAATTCACATTGGAGCTTAATTTACAGTAACGTGACTAAGGAAAAAACTTAGTAAGTACATATCATTTTTTCACTGAGGTTTTAATTTTAAAACATGCATATTCTTCCTTGTTCCTTTAGCTACAGCAAAATAGTTGATTTTCATTAGATGTACCCTTTAGTCTAACTGTCAAGTTAGGTATGAATGGAATAGAAACCTGACTATGGAGTTAAATTATTTTTCCTTATTATTTTGTTATATAAACTCAAAATATTTACTATCAGGAAGTCTCCAATTAAAAAGAAATAATATGTTACTGAAGTATGCATTGTTTAAGTATATGTATCTTAACCTGCGTGTTGTATGGATATGTAAACACATGAGTTATCATGCAATTAATGTAGATTTAATGAGGAACTTTGACTATTTATAGTTTTATAATTCAGGAGGCATCTCCTTCCTCTCTATTAGGATTATAAGGATTTGATTTTGGAGGACATATTTTCTTCATGTGTGAGTACGTTGACAAGTGCAGTGGAGCCCTGATAACTGATATGTCTCCATAATCTTGTCTAATTGACATCTTGGACATTTTTGAGTTTTCACATTGCCAGAAGCATTGACGAAGCGTTGCTAAATGATAATATGCAAAGCTTGTTTCCACAGCTCAGATGAAATAAATAGTCTGTACTTTGGAGCGCAGTCTGTGAGGGATAAAGTCTTACTAAGCTGTAGAATGGTGAAACTCTGATGCTTTAAGTATTGGATAGGGAACAAATAACAGGTGGGGCCATGCCATCATACAGCTATTTCTGTAATTGCATCGTTCTTTTCTGAAAATATCTCAGAAGGAAAACAATCCCCAGCAATCCATTCAGTAAATGGCAGAAATAATGATCCTAGATCCAATCAACAGATGTCCAATGTCCTCAATTGTCCATCATTGCAGTATTTCTGGCTCCTTTCTCTACCCTCTACTACTCTTGCTGTAGGAGTGGGAACAGCCTAGAATAATGTGCCTACTTTTTTTCTTTTTTCATTTTTTAAGTGTTTTCATAGATGGGTAAAGCTCTAGAATGAAAATTAAACTACACAGTTATAAAAAAGTAATGAGACAGAAATTATGTCACGTATATCTATCAACCTGGCTTCAAATAGGGAACATGTTTGCGCTAACATAGATTTCAGGAATACACTGTATTATACAGTGTATCCTGAAAGTGTTCTAGCACATTTGGTGAAGTCGCTGTTCTACCTGTTTAAAAGTTAGAGTAGAGCAGTGAGGACTGAGCAGAGGTGCTAGTAGACAAAATACTTAGAAACTTTGCAGCCTCAATTATTATCTTGACTTCATCCTTACCTGCTCAGAACTTCCCTATGGCTGATACCCAATCCAGGGCCACTGAGGCCAATATAAAATTGCTACGGACATTAATAAGAGAAGGATTTCCTTTATATTGAAAAGATTATATTTAATATATAAAAAATGGCAATAAAGTGAGTTTCAATTGGAAAAGTAAACAGTGTCGACATATCTTTGAAAATTCCATTCTGAACAAACTAACTGCAAAAAACCCTCTAAAAATGACTTACATAAGTGACATTTATTGTGAATAGGATATATGATCAGAAACTGGTTGAAACAACAAGAGTAATAGAAATATAACAAGACTTATCAGAATTAGGTATGTCTAGATAGATGAAAGTAAAAAGGTCACTTTTTCTCTCTTTGGTTGTTTACTTTGATTTTAAAGGAAGGAGTGCAATCTCTGAGGATTTTAAATATAGTGGCATAATGAAAGTGAAAATAAACCCCAAAAATAACTCAAAATCACTGAAAATGCAAAAAAGATCTCTTGGGAATATGATCTAGGGGTGAAATAGTATAGTTAAAGTGTCAGTCAAAGTAAAGAATCTTATTAAAAGCATAATGTTGAAATTTCCTGGTGAGAAATATAGACAGAAAATACAGCAAAAGATCTATGTTGCTTTATGACATCACTTTAAGGAGTTGGAAAAAAACCAGAAAATACAAAATAATAGAAAAGATCTGAATGTAAGGTGATAGAATAAGAATAATAGAACAATCAGACCCGATAAGTCACAAGAAACATTTTGAAGCAATAAAATGTAATAGGAAAGACTGTATAAATAAATTGAAAGAAAAAATGCTTTACTCATCAGAGAGAAAAGAAAATAGTGAGCAACATAGTGAAGACAGATGTATGGAGTTCTTTTTGTAAAGTATTTGTAAAAAAATCCATGGTGATTGATTCTTAAAACTTTTGAAGATTGTAGGAAGTACAATAGAAGAAGAAGGGTGAAATGAAATGTAGGTAAGTCAAATGATAAGACAGTTTACGAGACATCACCTGGGGTGACTTTCAGCAGTGGGGCTGTGGGTGAAGTTCACTATAAGTTGATCCCAAGTGGGAAAATAAAGGCTTGATCTTATAATATCTGGTGTTATGCAACAAGGCAAGAAAGATGATGTAGTAAATAAGCTGACAAAATTTCCACCAGCAGTAATTTCTGTTAACATTTTTGCTTTTTTAAACTATAACACACAGAAGCCCTTCCAAGTACTGAGAAAACCCTCTCAACAGGACAACTGGATCTCAGTTTCAGGTTATGAACTAGGGAATAAAAGACTTAGTCAGATAAATGCCCAGTGTATGGAAAATCTGGTTTATGATCAGTGAAGAAATGGATGAAATGTAGACAAATGAAGGAAGATAGCAAAATTCCCCTGTATCCTCTCCAATCTAATTTGAATCTCATTATGTTCTCATACTTTAAAACTCTCCCTTGTATCCACATGACAGCTGTAAGTAGTGAAGCAACACATCTATTTCTCCACCCACTCCCCAAAGAAAGAATAATGTAAAATAATGTAAAATATTTATGCTTTGTGTTTATGTATTTACTGTAGCATTTCTATATAGATGTAGCACTGAAGAAAAATTTTAATTGATTACAGACATAATCTGGTACCTCAGAACAGCCTTGAAAAGGACTAATTGTTGAAGAATATATTGGGAGCATGATTTTTTTGTACCTCCACTACCCTACACTATGCTTATAGACCAGAGGCACCAATCTACTATATTAATGCAAAAAAATGTACTAATGCAGTTTCCTCTTTACTGAAGTAACACAGGGATCTTGTGACCAAATTTCAGAATGAAGTCTATCTTATAGGAGGTCTTTCTGGACATTGTATAGGTATTAATTTTAAATGGGTGATATTTGTGCCTCTTCTTCAGAATAATCCTAATACACTGAGAAATTTCTGACTGTGACAGATTAGGACTCAGATAAAAGGTTAAGATCCAGATAAAAGATTCCAAAATATTTGTCGCATGTGAAATATTTTCTAGTTTAGTCAGGTTAAAATAATCTGACATCCCCCCAAATATCAATTAATTTCTTTGCTTACACTGGACTCATTGATGTTGTATCTCTATGCTCAAACAAATCAATGCCTCTTTTAATTATTTCATCCAGTTCCAGCAGACTCATGTTCTATTTAACATGTGTGTCAATATTTCCCAACTCCATTTCTATTCTTTTGTTTGATTTCATGTTTGGTAAGTGTTTAATGTGTAAGTCCTTATATTACTTTTCACATTAAGTGAGGTAGATATTTATGTTTTTCAGTAGTTAAATTTGATATTTAGAAAAAGTGTATTCAATATGATTCTTTAGTAAAATAAAAATAAAAAACCTAATAAAATGTGGAATTGTTGTAATTTATCAATTCTACTGTAATACTTTGTATGAAACTGAGTATGTACTTACACCTGCTTCTGGTGTAGAATCATAGTAAGTCTCAAGTTGTGTACAACTAAGGTAAAGCTAAAACTCAAATAGTGGAAACTTATATACTACAAGAAAAAAGACCTCTCAGATTCCTGTTCTTCTTGAGCTTAGTTGCCTTGAAACATACAAGACTGTTCTAGCAACCACATATTATTTAAGAAATTATTTTAGGACATTTCACTGACAGGCAGATGAAGCCTGTCAATAATTATACTGAAAAGCTCTGGAAGTCTGTGAAGCCAAGGATCCAATAAAAGCTATTTTACCTGTATACCTGTACTGTACTGATTTTTGAATATATGTATATTCAGAATAGAAAGCTAAAGGTAGCTCAGCCTCTGTGGAAATAATTCTTCTGTTCATTACAAGCTGTCTGAGTTTAAGTTGATTAGACCTCAGAAGAAGAGTAGAGATTTTTATGTCTTTTCTGTGGTCATAGAAACTACTGTAAACAATACAAAGAGTCTGAAAAAACCTATTGTGAGACAGATTGAACTGAGTGTATAGAGGAGTTAATGAATTAGGGTGTTAAACTTGAGCTGTTTTCTGTTTTGCAGTATTACTGGTTTTTGTTTTTTTGAGGATTCAACATATTAAATTCTCAGGGGGTCACCCTGTCAGCCTCAATTCTGTGGCCTGGATTTAGTTGAATCAATCCTAATTGAAATTCTGCACAGGTCTGGTATTCTGTGGAGATTGCAGATGAATGACAGTGCAGTGGCAGGAAAGATAAATATGCTGGCAAATGAGATCCAGGGTCTCCACAGAGGATGGAATAAATTACTTTACCAATACAGTGGAGGTAATATGCTGGAGAAAGAAAGTGAAATCGAAGCTAGTTTAATACAAGGCTTGTTAAAAAACATATGAGAAAAGAAGCCAACAATGCAGTTAAGATTTACTTAAAATACAGATTTCTGATGTGAATGTATTTAGGCCACTTCTTTTCTATTGTGAATAATGATCAATGCATACACTTTAATTTCATTTATGCAGACAGCAGCTTGCACAATTTAAATTCGTGCAGCATTCTGTGTGTAACTTGAGGCCCAGTGGTAACTGTGGTATAGCATATTGATTAGCAATTTGATAAATATATAAAATGGCACACTGAGTTTAAGGTGCTTCATGAAAAATGTATTTAAATGACCTTGGCTAATTAGCGTGAATAGCTTTGAGGCACTGCTGCCTGAATGAAAGACATTTTTAGAGTCCAGAGATTTAAAAGGTTTCATGACTGGATGAACAAAATTTAAACCAAGGGAAAAGAGCAAACATTAATTTTCATAGAAATTAAGGTGAATTAGATGACCTGATAGAACTTTTTTCCATTTCTTGCAGGTTCTGTACTGTTCTTCTTAGCATATGCCTGTTACTCCTTTCCATCTAATTGCTAAATTTCTTAAATAACCAGGATTTCAGCACTTTCCTCAGAAGATTATTTTAGAGTCTAATGGATCAGAAAGTATTTTCTAATATACATCTAAAATTATCCTTTTCACAGTGTAAGCTATTACTTCTTTAGGTAGTTATGGTTTGTTGTAATACTTGAAATAATTCCTCTCCTTCCTCTGTGCCTGTATCCACCTACAATATGTAGGTGATCACTTAGTAAAATTATAGGAATATATTTTTTATTCTCATCTCATAAACCAGTTTCTTCCATTATTTAACAATAGTATTTTGTCTTTCCAGAGCTAATTTTTGCATAATAGTGATGTTGTCACAGTGCTGAAGTTAGACTGAAGTTCTAATCCAGGCTGAAAAAAGCTCTTGCCTCCTGTAAATTCTGATATACATCAGCAATTTTCATTGTCCATTTTCAATCTGTTGTTTCATTCTACAGCTGAATTTTTTTCACTGTTTACACTTGAAACCTCCTTTTATCACTGCTGTTTTCTTTACAAAATGAAGAAATTGGTTTTAATCCATAGTTTCACTGAAGTGTTGGCTCATGCTTCTCTGAGCTCAGTCTTTATTTTCATTTTATGTTACACAAAGCATGTTCAGAGGTAATTTGGCATAGATCTAAGCGAGCATGACTCAGTGAAATCACTGTAGGCTGCCATGCTAATATGAGAAATGCATCTTAGACAGCAAGTAGAAGACAATTGTCTGGAATGGAGGTGAGATGGTAACTCTGACTGGAATGGTCTCCTGTGAAGGAAAGAAATCTCCCTGATGGTGAGTAGGGAACTTGCACAGCCAGACTGACATTGCCATAGATCAGTGGGGAGTGTACATTATCTGGGGAGTTCAAGTAAGAACTCTCTTCCAGCAAAATTAGACAAAATTTAATTAATTTTTAATTCTGAATTTGAGTAAATAACAACGCTTTTATTCATACTGGTTAATAGTAGTTATCTTATTAAGAAAGCCCTCATGACCTGAGCTAGTCTTGGGTTTTTACTTCTTGTGTAATATTTTATTTCTGGATTGTATGTGACAAATGGCTGAAATTACAGGCACAACATGCATTTTATATTTTTTCTCCAGAAATTGTGAATTTTTAAGACTAATTCATAGAATAACTCTGGATAAGACAATTGTTGGGATGTTTCATAGTAAGATGAATGAAAAGAGTTTTCAATTGTAACAAGGCTTTTTAGTTAACTATTTTTAATGGAAATATTCTATGCAAAATAAATCGATGACATTTTTTTAAAAGTGAAATCCAACGATATTGTAACAGCTCCTTACAGACTGTCGCTTTTTATGCAATTCTAATATATCATTTCCAAGTATTGGTATAGAATAAAAGGACAGTGGGTACAATGCTAAATATTTCTTTTTCTTCTGCTTATCTTGGCTCAATGGCTGGAAGTGACACCCTTGCTTTGACATAATTTTGCTCTGGTATTTGTTTTTTACAGAAATGTCCATTCATTGACTTTCAGGAACTCCAATTTGCTACAATAATGTTCTAAAGTTGCTGTGTTACTCTTTTATTTCTTATTGATTCCTAGCCCATGTCCGGTTTTCTCGGCTGTTTGAGGGGCCTGGAAAGGCCCGGAGTGGCCTTGGGACAGCCCGTGTATCGAAGGACGAGAAGAGGCTTCAGTTCTTCTTTCGGTTTTTATGTTTATTAATTGTTTATCTAAAAGATGTTCTTTCAGCCGAACAGAGATCTGCTCAGCAGTCAGCCATGAGCACACTGTGCCGTCCTCCGGACAGCCACGTATCTTT